ACACACAGAGGCCCCCCAGTCTGTTCACAGTAGTTGAGCCCTGCAGAGATGTCAACCCTCTGTACCAAACCAACATACAGCAGCAGTGCCCCAAAGGACCCGTGTGACAGTAGATGGACAACACGTCTCCTGTGCTCTTTTCTGTGTGTTTGTTGGGGTTCGCTAGTCTGCCATCTAACAGATATCACTTGTTTCCTCCCAAAGCTCCAACCACGTTAAAACCATCGTAATTGGAGTTGCCTAAATGTTTGCCTGCGTGCGCGTGTTCTTTTTTCTTTTTTCCTTTGCAGGTGAAGGTCGTTGCCGAAAGAAGCCCCGTCCAAACAGCAGCCATTTTAATTTGTTTGAAGGGGGAAGAGAGGCGATAACCTCCCTCTATGGGAGGAGAAGGGGGGGGGGGGCGGGCGGGGGACAAGGGGAGAGCGAGAAAGCACGGGAAGGACGACTGGGTAGAATTACGATGAGGCGGCAAATGGAGTCAGAAAAAATACGGAAAGAGGGCGGTGGAAAGGAGACAGTAACCTGTGTGTGTGTGTGTGTGTGTGTGTGTGTGCGTGCCGCTGGCTCAAGGCGCTATGTTTGTCCAAAGGCTAAAGACCGCCACCGGGCTCGCCACGGGGGCCGCTACGATCAACACGTAAATTATGCAGAGTACACGTGCCCGTGTGGTTTTCCTGCGTAGTGTTTGTGTTGCAATTTCTAGGATGTCAGTTACAGTACTGTGGGACCTGAAGAAAAGTGTAGCGGCGTCCCTCAAGGCGCAGTTAATAGCCACTCTCTTACAGATGTGCTGGGCTGGCCACTGGTGCAGTTTCCCTGCGTGTGTGCGCGTAGTGTGTGTGTGTGTATCATTAGGGTTTGGCATTGTCTTGAATTAATCAGCCATGGTTCTTTTTTTAATCCTGGTTTAAATTCTTGACACAATTTTTGAGCAAGAAAGGAACGGTTCAAGGCCAAAAACAAGGGTTTTATTTTCTGTCTATTTAGGCTGCATTAAAAAGATACATTTGAGCATCCAGTGAATTGTGGATGAGTACAATCTCCCTTTAAATTGCCCAGGTTTTGAGTTATTGCGGGGTTCCTTTTCAACAGAGATGCGTTTAGCCAAACAAAACCACAGAAAGAAATGTAGTAATTTTTGCTTCAAAGGCAGCAATTAAAAAAAAAACACCAGGTGAATTAATAGACTTTAAATTGACATGATATCCATAACTTTGTCAATTCAATTTCTTTATTTTAAAAAACCCGTTTCTGTCCTGCCAGATGCTGAAGGAAATGAAAGTGACTGGTTGGTTTCTGCCAAGGACCAAGAGGTTGGTGGATATTAATCACTTTAATCTGATATCTGAACCTTCAACTATTTTTTCTTATGGTCTGAAAGCTGTTTTTTTTTTTATAAAAAAATAAAAAACGATGGCGTAAAAATGATGCATCAACTGTGTGTGTTTCAGGCTCAGATCTACAACAAAGGCGGCAGGGTGACGACGCTGCGGGTGGCAAAGCGATACTACACAGACAAGAACGTCCAGTGTAGAAACTGCAGCAAGAACGGACATCTCTCCACCAACTGCCCCGAGCCCAAAGTCAGTTCCACTCGGTCCACAGCAGCATTTACAGCTTATACACGCTCACGAGTACCAGTATGTAAAACTGCTGTGTGTGTGTGTGTGTGTGTGTTTGCGGTGCAGAAGTTGGCGCCCTGCTTCCTTTGTGGCAACCCAGGCCACGGGTCCAATGGATGTCCCAACAAGCACTGCAACAACTGCGGCCTGCCGGGACACCTCTACAATTCGTGCAGTGAACGAGCGCACTGGCACAAGCGGTGCGAGCGGTGCGGCATGAAGGGGCACCTCTTCGACGTGAGTACGCTGGAAGGTTCTGCACGAATGTAGGTGAACTTGCCTCAATCAAGGCAAACGCACAGCCTGGGAAATATTGGACATGTGATAATCTGCAGCGTCCACCCCTCTGGAAATACTTTTAGGAACATTTTTCAAGCCTTTAACTTGAATTCCCTCTAACGGCCACCAGGGGGCGATATCTCTGTGCACAAATAAAGTCTGGGTTGCATTGACGTCGATGAGAAAGCGACTCTACTTCTCACTTAATTTATTCCCTCAGTAAACATTACAAACATTTGTTTATTGTCGCATTCAGCATGATGTTCATTTATTGAATTATGGTCCAATCCAAAAAACAACATGGTGACCAGTAGGGCTGGGCGGTATGGCCAAAAATCCACACCACGATTCTGACGGTATCCCGGTATGCCACCAGAGGCTCGACAGACTTTGCAATCAATCGTTTTCTGATCTAGCCAGCAAGCTCATTAAGTCGAGGTAAGCCAGCAGCAATGTCTGATTCATGACAGATGTATTGTGTCACAAGCTCACAGCTTCTGTTAGCCTGAAGCTAACGTTGTTTTATAGGCACCAATTGTCTCCATACGTAAATATGCACTGGATGCAGCATTTATATTTCTCGGCCCCTCCTGACATCGTGCCACTGACACCACTTTGATAATCACACAGTCTATTGGACGCAAAGGAAGCCCGATCATAATAAGGCAAATAAAAAGTGTGTGTGTGTGTGTGTTTTGTGCTTCGGCTTGAATTACGAACAGTTTTCTCTAAATGTAAACATGACAAAGCTGAACTCCCATTTCCTCCCCCATTTCTCTCTGACCAGGGGTCAGCACACGCCACTGTTCAAATTAATTGATACACTTCAGCAATTACAGCTTAGTTATGTCTCCGCCATGCTGCATATTCCAGTTTTGGACGTGTGTGTGTGTGTGTGTGTTGGCAGTGAAGGGTGAATCTAATGACCATCAATGACAATTACCCCACCGCAACGTTCATTACCTTGCCCATTTACCCTAATGCCATAGAAAACCCTGTGTGCATGTAAGCGCTGGCCTGTGCCCCCCCGACCGACCCCCTTTTCTCTCTCTCTCTCTCTCTCTCTCGCTCTGCCAGTCACCCTTTTCTGTGCTGTGTGTGCTGGATGAGTAGCCAGGTGAACACCGGAGGGAGAGGAGAGACCAACACACACACACACACACACCCCTGTTCTCTCTCTCACTGCCTCTCATTCTTTCCTCCCTCTCTTCCTTCGCGAGTTAATCTCGCTCTTCCCCTCCTGCTCTTTTGCATATAGTTTTCAGCAGCAGACAGACGCACCGAGTCCCGTGTCATTGCAATTACCCGTTTCTTGGACCGCAGAACTTTCTTTTTCTCTCACAAATGATAGTGCGTGTGTGAGTGAGCGCGTTTGAGAAAGAAAAGCGAGTCAGGTCTCCGTCCCCTGGGCCTTTCTGTGTCTCTCATTAAAGACAGACGGTTGACGGAGCGCGAGTGTGTCGCTCGCCTCGCCTGTCGCCCCCGACAACAACACGCTACCCCGGCGGTCTGGAGGGAGGGAGCGAGCGGGATGGGAGCTGGCGTGGGTGTGGTGTTGGTAATGGGGGGGGGGTCGGGCTCGGGTTGTTAGAATAAAAAACAAAAATCTAGATGAGAGGTTGCGGAGAATTCACCTATCATATCCATATTTGCCCTTCTTTGTATTCACATTGAGATGAAGCTGGAAGAGCAGGAGCCCAACGTGCTTTACTGGGCTTTAAAAAAAACAGATTTCAACTGGCACTTTCAGGCCTTATGGCTCTCAAATATTCTCCTAGAATTAGAACATTGCACATTTGTTTATTGTAGGAAAAAGAGAAAACTAAACATCCATGAATTCGTTCTCTCTCTCTCTCCCTCCCTCTCTCTCTCAGTAAGTGTGTAAGTAGATAAATCTCGTTGCCCGCGGCGACTGCGGCATTTTCAATTTCCCAGTGGGAAGCTGCGGTGGTTGGGAAGGGATGTCGGAACGCTTAAGGAACAGCGTGGCGAAGCCCCGGAGATAATGCTTTATCCACAGCGGGACACAAACAACTGGCTGGCTTTAGACAGAGAGGGAAGCGCGCTAGAAATCTGTTTGATAACGAGTTAGTGGGAGGGGGGGGGTCAGCTTCTAGCCTGCTTTCAGGCCCCTCTCTGTTAGAAAGGTTTCTTATTCGTCTTGTCTTTTTATATCCAATGTGCATCGGTGACCATTAAGAGTTACAGAAACACGCTGCCGGTTGCTAGCAGACGTTTTCATTCCCCTGCGTTTTGGAATCTGTTTTTGTTGTTTCCATTTGTTTGTGACATCCGCGTCAAGTGTTTGCTTCTTTCTCCTCAGGCCTGTCCAGAGATCTGGAGGCAGTATCACATCACGGTGAGTACCAGATGCAGGTTTCTGTAGGTCTGCACTAACATGAGCTCATTTCATGAATATGCAACCCTCCACAATTAAACTACCCAATGAGTACCTCATTATATATGCATGGCAACCAATGCACATGCAATTAGGATACTATAAAGTTGTAGTTTGGACTCAACCTGTGTCCAATTTATCCAAATCCCAGTGGACGTAATACTTCTGCCCCGAGTCCCAATTAAAAGCAGAGGAATGTAAAAGAACAGGGTGGTGGTGGAGGAGAGGGGGGGAGGGACTAAGCCAGCAGGAAGCTCACCCTGCCCCACGTCCACATCCCTGAATCCTCTAATGCAGAACCTGCCACATCAGGAAAGAGATATTCTAAATCTCACAGAATGGGCTCCATCTCAAAAGGGGGCCCAATGACATTACATCTGAAGTGAGCTCTTCCAGCACGTGGTCCCATTTGCGGAGAGGAAAAGTAAAAACGGAAATGAAAGCCTCGGTCGACGAGGCCAACGCAAACTGTGCTGAACCTCACGTCACTCTGCCTCCATCCCCGCTGTATCGCTCAATGTCGCCACTGAGTGAACTGTCAAAGAATCTCATAAGATTAAGCAAGTGAGGGTAGCCTTCACCTTTTTTCTTTAAGCTGTGTGTGTGTGCGTTTGTGCGTGTGTGTAGAAGAGTAGAAAACTGTGACAGTCACGCGTGTCATATGTCAGCGGGTTTGCTTTTTGCTCCTGCGTGTGCGTTTATCCAAATTCTCAACAGATAACTAGCTTCCTTGGCTCCATATGTAAGCTTTGCTGTGTGTGTGTGTGTGTGTGTGTGTGTGTGTGTGTGAGGGGGTGATATAGACCTCAGCCTAAGAGAAAAGAGCAGCTTGTTTGTCAATTAAAAGACGTGATAAAGCATGAAATGGGCTGCCAACGCCACTCGGGACGAGGGAGGGAGGGAGGGAGGGAGTGAGAGGGGAGAAGAAGAAGTGTGTGTTTGCATATATCTTGGCGAGCACTTTGTGTGTGTGTGTGTATGTGTGTGTGTTGGGGAAGGTCTGTCACTCTCCTCTGTGGAGATTAATTAGCAGGGGCTGTCTAATGAAAAGGCGGCATCGTTAGCGCTGGGGTAGCACGGCGGGAGGGGAAGGAGAGAGAGAGAGAGAGGGGGAGGAAGATGGAACAGAATCGAGAAGTTCCTTGGGAGACGCTGGCAGAGAGGACGGGAGTTAAGTTGAACACGGGGGGAGGTGGGGAGGTGCTACGCGTTTTGTTGTTGAGGCTTTTAGACGGGAGGAGAGGGAAGCAGCGCGGGGGAAGAATTCCTCCCGTTGGGCCTCGCGAGATCATCCCACCCACTTTCAAATTCCACAACCCATTTTTTGTTTGTGTGTGTTTGCGTGTGACGGCGTGCTTTAACGGGTGGAGGATTGTGACCCAGGTCTAATTGAAGTATTTAAGCCATTTAAGCACTGGGAACAGAAGGTCGTTACAGATCCGAACCGGCGTGGGGGGCTTTAGGGGCTCGCACCGACACAAACAAACACACACAGCGCTCCTTCTGTTTAAGACAGCCTCATTTTATTCATGATGCTGCTTATGACCCTGAACTCCCCAATGTGAGACCGTGTGTGTGTGTGTGTGTGTGTGTGTGTGTGTGTGTGTTTGCTTTGGGAGATGTGACTCTGTCACCTTCCGCTGGGCTCAGCCAGGTGTGAAAAGGCATTCTGTCAGACCTCCCTGCTACTGGGTCCATTTATCCTTCCTGCGTGTGTGTGCGTGTGTGTGTGTGTGTGTGTGTGTGTGTGTGTGCGTCCGTTTATCTACCCTGAGTGTGTGTGTTGTCTGCCTGCACCTGGCCCTCAACTAACAAACTCCTCCAAACCACACAGTATGGACCACAAAGCCCGGGGGTATTTACTGAGAAAGTAAGATACTGACACACGTGGACACACACAAATACCCACACACACTTCTTAGATATTTATATATATATCTAAATATAATAAAAATATATGTTTGTGTGTATGTAGATGCGATGAGTGGTGGCGAGAGGTGAAAGGGGGGAAAAGCCTGTTTGTCTCAGTGTTGTTTGTTTTCTACAGTTAATATTTAAGAGGTTTCGTTCCTCCGTCTCTGTTTCCCTCATTGTTGTGGCCACAGCTTCACAGCGGGTCGCTCCCTCCATCTCCGCGTCGTTCTTATCGTTCTCGCTAAGTCTAATAATATTAATGCTCATTGCTATGGTTTTAATGCACATTGTAGCTGTTTCTTTTGTGGATGTATTTGTGTGATTCGTATTGTATGATCACCTTATGCTGTGAGGGTTTTCCTTCATCTCCCAGAATGCTTTTCAACCGGCCCGTATCCGCCATGCATCCTCCCGTCTTCTGCTTCTGGATTGCTGCTGGTTGTTTTATTAGTCAGTGTAAGATGGAGACTGTGAGTGATGCCAAATGTGTATTTTGATGGAGAAACTGACCGAAATTATTTTCATTACTACTATTTGTTTTTTTTAATTCCATCGATTCCCTTCTGCCTTTTAAAATTTCTCAAACGCTTCACAAGTGGCTGTCTAACTAATCTCCAAGGTGACGTCTTAAAATGGATCGTCTCAAATCCCAGATCTACACATTTCATATTCAACCAAAACCAGCAAACCGTTGGCTCAGTGATTGATAGATAGATAGATAGAAAAATGACATTAGTTCTTTTGGTTCTTTTGCGCAGCCCATTCAAACTTGCATGCCTTGTTTATTAAACTTGTTAAAACCCTTTTTGGGAGAGACCCTGGACCAGTGATTGGAAGGCAAAGAGAGCCATTTTGAAATGAGCAGAGGAAAGCGAGGGAGCGACCTGCTGTGTGCGCAGGCGGCTGCGTTAACGCCCGCAGACAGCGATCTGCGTGCATCTGATCCTGTCACGCACCTGCAGTCAAAGTGTTGTCAGGAGGAGGCCGGAGCGCCACCTTGTGCCGGCCGCCGGGAAGCTTAGAACGCAGAAGAACTCGAATTCTCGGATCGGATTCCAAAATTCGTTCATCAGCCAGATGAAGCCTCGTGGCATTAGATTCAACACGATGCGTATCCATGTAGAAAGGGGCTGCTCCCCCCCTCTGTTCCTACAACAGAGGGGGGGAGAGAAGTGTGGAGGGGAGAGCGAGAGAGAGGAGGAGTGTATTAAAGGGAGAGAGTCGGCATGATAAGCACACCGCGGCTGATTGGTGCAGGTAGATCGCTGTGTGAGCATCGATTCGCTGTGGCGACACCTGTACGTGCGTGTGTTTATTGATCTGTGCACCGCTGCCCCGTGTGGGGGGGCGGACTGGATTTTATCCCCACAGAGAGGTGTGTGTGTGTGTGTGTGTGTGTGTGTGTGTGTGCGCGCATCAATCTTCTCCCCAGAGACAGGTGTGTGTGTGTGTGTGTGTGTGTGCCTGTGGAAAACATTGCATGACCTTTTTCTTTGTTAACCACATAAATGAAGCTGTTTTAACTCTTCTCACCTCACTGCGTTCTTTTTTTTCCCCCCCCTTTCCATTAAGTATGTTTTCTACGTTTTTGTCTCCACGAGGTTCTTTTCTCCATGTCCACACGGGCCTTTGTCAGCACCCAAGGTTAGGACGTTTGGCCCCGTTCAAATCCTCCTCTTCTCAGGAAAGGGAATACATTTACATGTCTTTAGAACACACAGAAAGACTTTTCTAGCAAAGTAGACCTCTTGACTTTGTCCATTTCAAATTAAAGTGCTAAAATATTGGAATCTGTAGTATAAGAAAACGTCTTGACCAGCTCATCCTATAGAGTCAAATGCACCAGCCTTAGAAAACGAAACGTATAAATACTCCCGTGCACTCGCGCCCCCTCTGATAGTACATTTATTTTTATGATTTTTTTATTTCAAACAGACCGATCTTCAGTGTCTTAAGTTGTTCCTTGAAATTGCAGTTCTTTGATTATTCTCCTCAGAGATATTATCATTCATCTTCCGTCATACATGCATTTAAAAGTGCAAATACTTTTTTAGACCATTTTAAGGAACATCAGAACCGTCGCCACTCGAGACCGTCTCCAAATTTGAGTTGGACATTTTTTTTAAAGGGAAAACCATATTTCCTTTTTTTTAAATACAAAAAGGATCAATTCCAAACCTATTTTATCTTTGTTCCTCGACACGATGTATTAATATACACGAACACTTTTCACGTACAAACAAGACCCAATATATTCAGACGTTTGTCATTAATGTTTCCTGGATGAATGTTCAGTATTTGTTGACGGCTGTTTTATTCATTCGAATACCAGTTGGAATTACTGTCAGTGGCACTTTCTCTTTGTGATCAGTCCCATTCTTCAGTGGAAGCCGCCCACAGTGTGAGGGGCCTCGCCAGCTCGCTGTGTTAGAGCGCCCCCGGGTGGTCCAACACAGAACTGCGCTCTGATCGCTCCCTGAAGTTCTCTGGTTTGTCTTGATTTAGAAATGACCCTCTGCAGAGTAACAGCCGCGGTCCATAGAGGAAATGGACGATTAATATGTCACTACTTCTAGACTAAAATTCCATTTTGATGCAATCAATCTTTAGAAAGCTTGCATATATTAATCAATTATTTTCAGTCATTTTTCTACTATTAGTCTCCCAGGAGTTGGTGCTTCTTGTGCTATTGCTAAACCTGTATGGATCGTTTACATCATATGGATCCACTTTGTTTTATCTCAACACCGTTTCATATTATGTTGCTCCCCACGGTTTCTTACTTTTTTTCCCTTGTTATTGGGTGTCCCGATGTGGGGTCCTCGGGCCGAGGATTTAGTATTCTGTACAGATTATGAATCGCTTCAGGCAAATTTGGGATTTGGGCAAATTGATTTGGATTAATTGCACACAAAAGACAAACCACAACAAGAAACTGGTGTTATTAAAAAAAAAAAGACATTGTTCCTTGTACATGTAAAAACAACGTTAACAGTGTGGGTATTTACTTTTCCCCAACTAAATTTTATCATACAATTTATAATAATACAGGCTAAAAGAATAAAGAAGACAGCAGCTGAAAAAGTAACACCTGCTATTTACACAGAAATGACCTCAGCATTGGTCATTCAGGAAGTCTGTGGTGACCTTTAGGTCCGCGTTGAGACCGGCACCCGTCTGACAAAACCTCACTCAATAATTGAACCTAACAAATGACCTGAAATTCAAATAGAGAATTACGAGCACTCTTGGCTCCTCTGTTCTTTCTGCTGAACTTGAAATTACAAGTTTAACGTTTCAACCTTTCTTCCATTTCTTCTGTCCTTCCCTCTGTCTGGCTGACCTCTTTTTTTACCCCCATTCATCTTACAAGAATGAGCTCAATTAAAAAAAATCCTTTAAATCCACATCTATTCAGGCAGCTGTTTTTGCTGTCTCATCATTGTACAGTATGTGGACTCTGCGGTCTCTCTATTCTCCTTTAGACTGAGACTCCGGCGGCCCGGAGGAGACTGGGGAGGGCACCGGTGTAAAGGAGGGGGGGGCATTTGCGTGTTTTTCATCTGGTTCTATTAACAGCGAGCAGCCGACATGAAGGAGAGAAAGTGCCGCAGGTGAAGAAGAGCGTGACACTTCAATGCCATTCACACGTCTTCTTCACAGCTTAGACAACAAACTAATAAAATAGAGCTGAAAGCTTTCATTTTAGCCAACTACTTAAATAATAATCTTTAAGATAAAAATCTTGATTTGCTGTCACCAGCAGAAAATGACTCGGCAAACAGCGTAAAACAAGTTTATGGCATCAATGTCTGGTTTCAACTCCTCTCCACTTACAGCCTGATGTTCATGAGTTAAAATAAATGTCGACGCTTTGTCTGCTCTAGGACCGCGTGATTGACAGGTCCCCACCACGCCGTTATCCCGAGAGAAAAACCTGTAAATGTCCACATGTGCTTCCTTTGGGAGTTTTTGGTACAGGTGTCTTTGCAGACTACATGCTAAACCACAGGAACGTACACACGCACGCGCCCAGGTGAGGTGTTATCGGAGGTCCTGCAGGCTCCGCTCGCTCTTTGTGGCTCTCTCTGGCTTAGCTGGATGGCGTCCATGCAGGTGGAAGTGTGTGTGTTTGATATGCTGCCTGCCTGGTGTAACGTCCCGGTTCGGCATCGTGACCGGGGGCCGCAGGAGTGCGTTGCACGTGCGTAGCTGCTGGCCGTGAACACAGAGCAGCGGACTTGCTCCTAGATCGGAATAGATTAGCTCCAATCCTCTGTTCCGCCGGCCGCGCTCCGACCAGATTACCTCCTCACCCCCGCCTCACATTATCTCAACATTCCAGTGGCATTTCCCCTCTCTGCTAACGACAAAATCAGGAGTCCCGCTGACTGACGGGAGGAGATACGACGAGCCTCTGGGAATTCTCTGTGTGTGTGTGTGTGTGTGTTCTTTGTGACACAAAGGGGGCAGAAATCACATCTGGTTATTCGGAGACGCCCCGTCCCCTTCCTCCTCCAGAGCCCCACACACCTCCACCTCAGACGGGTGTCCAGGACGATTGATTCTCTCCTTCCCGTCCAACACTGGCAGAAAACTATAATTGGATTCTTTACAATTTTTTCCATTAGCCTTAATAAATCCCAACGGAAGAGTAAACGGATTGGAGGTTCTCTGGTTAATTCATCGATTCTCCTTGAAAACACGCTGTGTTCACATTATAGCCATTTCGCAATGGTCTAAGTACCCCCCCCCCAACCCCTGTTAACATAATGTGTACATACTGGCATGTTGCACGCACACAGACACACACTCGCGCACCATGAGGGTGTGTTTGTTTTGGTAGGAGCCCAGTCGTGGTGGTGATGTGTTGTGAGGCTGTTTATAATGATAAAAACACGCAGTCGATCCCCGCGGCTCTGGTAACAGGCAAACCTCCCCCCCTTACACACACACACACACACACACGCACACACAAGTCTGTTTGCTTCTCGGATTGTGTTCAATAACTGTGTGTGTTTGTGTGCGTTCCTTCCCGATTGTTGTCAGTAACTGTCTGAGCTTTGTGTCGGCCGAAGGATTATCACGGCAAGGAGGTGTGTGTGTGTGTGTGTGTGTGTGTGAGGCCACGGATGGCTGGTTGTCTGTGTCCACCCAGCGAAGCCCTTAGGACCTTTCTTCAACACCCTCGTACACACACACACACACACACACACACACACACACACACACACCCACTCGGTCCTCTTCCAGCTTCCGTCCCCTGGTGTGTCTGACTGGCAAAGTGTCCCATCAGCAGGAGGTGGATGAGACTCAGAGGCCTGTTAGTCAAACACACACACACAAGCTTTTGTTTTGTTCAATGTCGTCTCCCACGCCGGAAAAAAGCCTGTCAGGACCGTTTATGAATAGAGAGGTTATGATCTTTTTTGGGGGGAAAGCAGGAAAGATGAATAATTGATTAATTTAACCAGATTAAATGTCTTGAACAGAAAACACGAGTCATCTGAATAAAATAAAAAATAAAAAATAAACCGTTAACTTCAACTATTAATGTCTAGAAAAACACCTCTGAGATTCCTTGTGGAGCCAAAACAACCAGCCATCTCAAAGGAACACACACACTCGCACTGACTCGCACATCGCTTCAGGCCGCGTGTTGGTGATGTCATCAACGGTCACAACCAGGAAATAGTGTCTGTTTGAACCACTTCTTCATTCCCGTCTGTTGAAGCGTCTTTGTGAGACTGTGGGAACCGTCTCAGCAAACGGATGTTATCTGTCTTCTAAAATATGCTGAGAACAGCAGGTTTATCGCTCTATTAAAATATTTCTACAGCATGATTGTTCAGTAACAGACAGAAGACGGAAGCTTTTTTAATTTATTTTTTAAGACATAATAAAGGGGAAACTTTTTTTTCTCCTCCATTTAAAAAAAAAAAAAAAAAAAAAAAAGTATGCATGACTCAAGCATGTGCTTTTTTACTAGCGTGATGACTGAGCGTGAAGCCCAATCTGTGGAATCAATCTGCTTCCTCCCCTCTGGGCCTTAAAAGAGAGACTAACACTAGATCGGTGGCGGGCGAGTCAAAGCTAAGCGTCAACATAAATGTCTTCTTGACTTACCGCCGTACAGCCGGACTCTTCTCCAAAGACACCAAAGCGATAGGACCCCACCGGCCGTTTGCCCTGTTAGCTATTCTCAAGCCCCCCCCCCTCCCCCTCTCGCCCTCCTGCCCCCAATAGGAAGCGCCGAAGGAGCGAGAGAGAAAGGGAGGAAGGTTCATCCAGTTAATTAATATTGTATGAGGCAGACAACTCCTCACACGCGCGCCCATCTTTTCTTTTTATATTACAGTCAGGCATACAATATACTGCGGTAGTAGACGAGTCCGTGGGAAATTTAATTCTCTTCTCCTCTGCTGCTTACTTGCCTTCTGCGCCCGGCAAAGAGTAGGCGGAGTTAACTTGAGCCAAAGATCAGGGGGAGAGACACAGGCAGGCCTGCACCCAATTTCCATGATCGATGAATGGCCAAGGGGGCGGAGGGGTGGGCGGGGGGGGGGGGCTCGATACCAGGGACTGTGTTCTCCTTAGGGTGCACGTGTGTGTTCATTGGGCGTGTGTGTGTGCGTGTGTGTGTGCGTGCGTGCGAGCGGTCTGTGATCTCCTGGCCTTTGTGATGGAGATGGGACCGGCCGGCCTGACCCGATAATGACGCGATGCTCTAATAGCATTCATCCTTTCTGCTGCAAAACTACTCAAGCGGAAAAGAGCGAGAGGAGAGGGGGAGGAGGAGGAGGGGGAGGAGGAGGGGGAGGAGAAGAAAAGTGGGGGCCGGTTAGGGAAGCTATGTTTAAAATACGACGCAAATCATTTGTAATCTCAGAATCAGGGTTCAAAGAGGGACGGGTGGGGGCACCTTAGATCAGTGTGAAGCTCTCTGTGTGTGTGTGTGTGTGTGTGTGTGTGTGTGTGTGTGTGTGTGTGTGTGTGTGTGTGTGTGTGTGAGACATTTAGCAGTAAATACGCTGTGACTGTGTCTCCTCGCTCTCTTTATCGGTTCATATTTGCTGCGGGCGACGGAGCGTGGAGGCTTTCAGGACGCCGGCCCAAAGGGGACGGGACCCTGTGTCCCGCACACACGCAGACGCTTGCTTATCACGAAGGGTCATTACAGGCCTCTAACTACAGCCTCCGCAATCAGCGCGTTACATCGGCAGACCTGCGCAGCGCGTACCAGTAAAGACCATGGGAATGAGAGCAGGGGGACACAAATAGACGGTGACACCGCCACAGTTATTTCTTTTTTTTTTCGTTATGAAAAGAATAATCCCGTAACAATCCCTCCCCCCTTTTTCACTCCCTGCGTCTGTGCTTAGACCAAGGCGGGAACTCCCACCAGCCTGCGGCACGACCAGGCGGGGGGGACGCGGCCGGCCTACTGCTACAACTGCTCCATGAGGGGACACTTTGGACACGTGAGTACCTCGCTGTGTCCCCTCTGCAGTAACTTTCCCACCCATATTGTTCTGATGCGACCCGGCGCGTTTTCACCAGGCGTGTGGAAGCCAGAAGATGTACAACTGGACGTATCACTGCAGCACTTTCATCAACTACTACGACACGAAGAGAGACATCAAACGCAGAGAGCAGTCGGTGTCGGCGAAGGCCAAAGGTGAGTCGCACAAACAGGCACTACCACCCGCTCGTCTTTGTGATGATGCCTCTTTGACCTTTGGCCTTCTGCCTCTGCAGGCAGCTGGAGGGTTTGTTTGCTGTCAGTTGTGAGAGCAGAAGTATACAGACATTACCAATACATGAATGTACAGCAAAAAGCTGTGTATTACTTGTTCAAATGATAGTATTATCAAAAAGAATGAGAAGTCCCCTCCACTCCAAACGCCTTCTGCTTTTGACCGTAACTATCAAAGTCTGTGCCATTCCTCTAATGAAGAGCCGGATCCCTAAAAAAGATTCCAAAATACTCAGCAAGCTGGATTCGGTTCTTCAAAATTCATTAGCCGACGTCTGATGAGTGAAACCGAAACACATATCAAAGACAAAAAGGATATCGAACCTGACGCGTTAGAGTCCCCCAAACGAGCACGAGTACCAGAAATAAATACACGCTGCGTCAGCTATGAGCCAACAAGCAGCGTGAAGAGACAAAGACGCTGTCTACGTGTATCGCTGGGACTCATACATGCATTCTTTTCTTTCTCCAATCTAATTTATTGTAAAAATGTCTTTGGGTTTGCTGACAACTATTAGACAATTATGTCTGACGCTTCTGTTTCAATCTTTAAGAATGGAATTTACTTCATCTTACGTTTTATGTCAAATTTTCACTAAAGAGGGAAGACAAAATATTACAATTGCTTTACAGTTATTTAAAAAAATGAATCACTAGTGCTGAATTCACTCAAACCTGAAGTCACATGACTAAATAATGAACGACCTTTTGTTTCCTTCACCTTTCAGAACTGAAGAAAAACGGCTTTTTCACAAACAGTGTTCAGACCCACCTCGCTGCGGGACCGCCCATTAAGAAACGCAAATTTGACCATTACAACCACCACCCCCACCCGCTGGCCCGCCCGCCCCACCAGACCCCCAGCGGCCACAAACCCAACCACATCTTCTTCAAGGGGGGCGACGTCTTCACGCCGCCCAAAACCAAGAAGAACCATAAGAACCGGGAGAGCAACGCGAAACCGTGGAAACCCAAGAGGCCGGTTCCCGCCGCCAAAGCCCCCGTCGCCACGGCCAAAGTCATCGTGGATGAAGCGAAGGACTTTCCTCGAGGTGGAGGCAAGGGAGGAGATGTGAAGGCGAAGAAGAAGAAGAAGATGATGGGGAGGAGCAAGCAGCAAGCCCACATCGAGGGTGACCCGGACCGCCTCGGTTGGACCGTCGCGGGGGAGATGCAGGGGGCGGGGTCCAAGCCGCAGAAGAAGAAGAAGAAGAAGAACCAAAAGCAGAAGAAGACACCCAGAAAGGCGGCCGCGGAGGAGATGTACCCGACGGATGAGAACCTGTTCCTCATCAAGCAGAGGAAGCGCAGAAAATAGAGGCCAGGACGCACGCCGGTTCACGGCGGCTTTGGGCTCATCTCAGACTCTCAGTTGGGGAGTTGGAGTGCTGCGTGGAAGAGTTCATCTGACCTTTTTTTCTTTCTTTTTCTTAGCTGAAGACGCTTTGACGCAGTAGGAAAAGCACAGATGTAAATAATAAGAGTGATGAAGGCTGAATGTTTCAGGGTGCGGTTGGGGGTCCTACTGGGACGCCTGAGGTCACAAGTCTACAAGTCTGGTTTAAAGTAACAGCTGGGAGTCCGTGAACGTTACACTCGGTGTCAATGCAGTTTGGGAAACAGTCATGAAAAACATCTATTGGTTTTCTGCACAGGAACTTATTTATTTTTGTCGCTCAGAACTTTCTTTTTTTTTAAGTTTCAAAGTGAAGTGTTAAACACAGAAGTTTAGTTTAGGCAACAAAAAAATGTAGTGACCAGGAATAAGGCTCCTGGTTGACTTTCCTCTGCCAGTAATTTATTCCAACTAAGACAAAAACAACAAAAAAGTTGTGTCCTTGTACACAAAGCCACAAATTGGATTTCAGGACTATTTCTCAAACTGCCACGATTACCGAGCTGGAACATTGAGGTCATTCCTCCTGTCCATACTGGTCCCATATGAAGACCCCCCCTCAGGCGCCCGGTGAGGGACGGCTGACACAATTCACTGCTACAAAATGTATTTCAACGGGGAATCTATCCAAAACTACAGTGAGAGTTAGACAAATCGTGTCGATTCCTTTCTAAAGTCCACCAGGGGAACACTGCCCAGGGCAGCAGAAAGGACAGATGTTGGTACTAAAACATACGTCACTTTGTGGCTGTCCTCTAGATTTGTCGAACTCAGGCCGCTGATAAACGTTTGAATACATTTTTGCTCTTAGGACCTACTCTGGAAGCCCTTTAAAAAGATGTTCACTGTGACTGGCAGGGGTTACAGAACCTTTGTGAAGATTTCCTTTCAATTTTATTATTTCCACTTGTGATTTTACTGCTATGAGGAGTCTTTCTGCTGAGAAAATAAGGCTGTTTTTATTCAGTCCAGTAGTTATTTAAGTCACTTCCTGTGTTAATGGACAGCGATTAGTTACTGTTGCCTAATAACTTTTCAGTTATTAGTAGATGGTGTAATAAGAAATCGTTCAGATGATCGATTGATGTCCTTATTATATTCTCCAGTATAGTTGCTAACATAATTCTCTGTTTGAAGTATAATCAGATCATTTCCTAGCACCTCTGCATCCCCAAAGAATGGGAATTTTTTTGTTCCAATACTACCCAAAATGGTCCGTTTCACATTTAGAACAGAAGAATTTCCATTTTTTTCACACTTCATCTGTAAATGTTTTAAATATGAGCATAACTGTAAATACCTCTATTACACATGGACCGTTTTAACCCCTTCAACCATCCTCTACATCGAGTCTGTTAACATGATGACAACATGAAAAGAGGTTGAGACCGTTGCTTGATAACATAAATACTGGCTGCCTGAAGTCTCCAGCTTGAATACAACTTGAGTCTGCTTCGTCGTGCTTTTATTTCCTTCATTCAGGAACATAAATCATTTTGTGTGATCATTATACCTGTTGACACTGGTCTATTCATAAACGGTCCCATAATGATTTGCATTGCATTGCATTGTGATGCAATTCATATAGATGATGCTTTAGTATCATTTTAAAGTTGATATAATTATGTGAACTAAAATAAACTATACCATCAAGATCACATTGGGAAGTTATGGACAATGGACAATGCCACCAGTAATGGTCCAAAAGAATGAAGACTGGCATTTCAAGATTTCATCTGTCCCACGTTTGTAAACCAAATAAAACTAAATGAATAAAAACAATATTTCCTAACGAATTGTTGCGGAGTGGAATGTGTAGAATATGAAGTCCTTTTACTGCGCGTGGCACGCTAGAGCTTTTCAGCTGTGTAAGGTGACCATGTCAAGTCTGAGGGGAACTTTACGATTTCTGTCAAAATTTGCTCCCCTGCACATTAAAAGACAATTTAAACTCGCAATGAAGTATTGCAGTAAATGCTGTACTTTATTGAATGTTCTCCATCACTAAACCGTTATTTTCTATACTTTCTCCGGCTATGTTTCCACTTGTTGAAACAGTCGCAAATGATGTATGTCGAATGACCTACTTTTGCCGCCACCAGTGAACGCAGCACGGAGAAACACGTGATTCCACGCGCTGCTCCGCCCCGCGCGCCGCGGACGCCCCGAGCGGTCACATTCAGCACTGCAGCTGCGATTCCCCCCGCGCTGTCAGAGGTTGGGCGTGAGTGGTCTCACCTCGAGCGACCACGACTTAGAGAGCGTCTCACACTGCAACAAGAAGGGAAATGGAGACCGGTTTGTCCTCAACGGGTGACGCCGAGCTGGACCAGGCGGTCAGCCGGTGGCTGCGGAGCGACAAGGTAAGCGGGCAGCTAGCGGCCTAACCCGGTGCCCGTGTGCCGGCCCGGGGACAGTTAGAGCCAAGTGCGGCCTCGTTAGCTGCTCTACGACTTTAGGAAGACGGGAGACGTTTATGTTGTTACAACGGCAAACATCAGAGTAAAATAAAACCGTGTGCACGGTTCACGAAGGCGGTGTGACGTGTGTTAAAGTTAGTGAAATGCTACACACCGTTAGCTGCGTCACAATTAACGTTAGCTGACTTCATGGTGCTTCGTTAGAATGCGATATTCGACCGGTCTGTCATTTCCTAGTGATTGATTCTAAAACGTTTTGGAAATCACTTCCTATGGTACGTAATGGAAATATAGTCATAGTTAAATTACTATTGAATAATTCCAACCCGTGAAGCTTTAGTTTATCCTCGCAAGTCAGTCCAGCCGAACTTTCAATATGTGGAAATTGTCTCCCAATAAACACCCGAACAATGACCGACATGTTCCTGGTTTCACACGGAGGGCAATGTATCCATACGGGTTGCCTTTTCATCTGGAATATTATTACCTCATCACATGGTTCCTATCAAATCAGTTTATGTAATACCCGCGAAGGAAAGTTCTGGTGTGGTGAATACATGAATCAAATCTAAAATCCTCATATGCCACACTAGGTTTACTACTGTGTTAAAGGGCGCACAGATGTAGACGAGTCTTCTTCAAGAGACACGGGATGCCACTAATAGGTTCACTTTGGGAAACAGTCCCCGGTTCATTAGTTTGAACATTATTGCATTGCGGCATCTGACCCATCTGAATAGGGGGCATCATGGAGCCTTTTTCCAAATGACAAAGATGTCTGAGCTTGGAAGTCACTCAGGAGAACAGATATCCTCGACACTGCAAACGCAAAAGAATCACTATTAAGCTTAAACTATTGATGACAAAAAAAACACAATAGCAATAGGCCAGCCTAAGACGTTCTCATTAATACATCAGAAACGGCCTCTGGTAACTTGACCTCCAGTTGTAAGCGCTACTTTATGCAGGTCAATGTATAACAAAACATTTTTACCCCCTCAGAACCCCAAGACTGCGTCCATGGTGCAGGACCTGGTGCGAAACGGCGCGGTGGAGGCTCTGAGGAAATGCTTGTCCTCCAGGATGGAGTTTGGTACAGCAGGTCTGAGGGCGGCCATGGGCCCTGGCACGTCCTGTATGAACGACCTCACTATCATCCAGACCACACAGGTCGGTGAACGGCTAAGCTGCGAACACGTGAAGCATCAAGCCGCATGCACATGAACACAGCACACATGTCATCTTGTTACATGTTGTTGTAGGATCTCTGTGCTGGTACTTTTCTACTTCCTGCAGCTGTTGTGAGATGTCCATCTTGGCATTGTAAACAGAAGATTTCTCTTACCTCACAAATCCCTGACAGGGTTTCTGTTGCTACCTGGAGGAGAGTTTCGCTGACTTTAAGGACCGAGGAGTGGTAATCGGGTACGACGCCCGTGCCCACCCCCCCAGCGGGGGCTGCAGCAAGCGCTTTGCCAGCCTGGCAGCAGCTGTGTTCATCAGCCGAGGGGTGCCGGTCCACCTTTTCTCTGACATAACCCCCACGCCATTTGTGGTAATAACTTATTTTATAAATTCTGCATTATGACAGCAATAATATATTATTGTAGTCGCAAATTAATGATTCTTTAAGTCTGATCAGTTTTCCTGGTGGAGCAGATGACAGTGACCGAAAAGCTAAAGGGCAAATTCCATTCAAAAAGTACATGTCCCCTTACTTTACTGCCTGTTGCATAACGCACATATTTGATTGTCATGATACTTTGTGTCCATACTACAAACCCCAATCAGTTCAGTCAGGGAGAACGCTTTTATATTTGAACTGAGAAAATCTATCACATCTCTCACATCTCATCTATCACATCCCATCCACCACATCACATCTTTAAAAAAAACAATAGAACTTTGAAAGGTGCCGACAAGTGTAGCCTGATCTTTAAATGCAGCTGTGCAGGAATACTGGGTTTAATCTGAATGAGTAAACTTTGGGAAAAAAAGTTACATGGGCATATTATTGTTATAGATGAAGCATGAAGCCATTCTGTACAACCTTAATGTTCATATTGTGACCCAGACAAAGATTTGATCCAATACCAGCTTCTTAGTGATGCACACACTTAAACGTAGTTTAATTGCCAGGAAGCTGAGTTAAGACACCTGCGAACTTGCTGATTGTGAAACAGTCACCTGGAATGTATGTAATGTAATGTAATGTAATAATGGAATGTATGTGCCCCTGCATGTCCTTCCATTGAAAGATATTAAGTAGTTGTGTGCATACAAATGACTGGTCTGGTTGGATCTTTGAGAGTATATTGTATATGTATTTATATAATTCTGTCCTGCTCCCTGCAGCCTTTCACAGTCTTACACCTGCGTCTGTGTGCTGGTATCATGGTGACCGCCTCCCATAACCCCAAACAGGACAATGGCTACAAGGTAACAGCTTTTACTTACTTGCTTACTTTCTTACCTACATCCTTGATCACTTACATGCTTGCCTACTTGTTCGCTTACATGCTTGCTATCAACACACTCTTTTGCTCAGTAAGTTTATTACTCATTTAGCGTCTTGTTAGCATAAATATTTTCATATTTTCCTTCCAGGAAGGCAATAGTCCTTATTCCTTGATCTTTCTCTGCTCCGTCTGTGGTTCAGGTGTACTGGAGGAACGGAGCCCAGATCGTGTCTCCTCATGACAAAGGCATCGCCAAGGCCATCGAGGAGAACCTGGAGCCCTGGCCGAAGTCCTGGAGCGCAGAGGAGGCTCTGAAGAGCCCCCTGCTCAACGATCCCTACCAGGACATCCACACACAGTACTTCAAAGCCATCCAGAAACACTGTCATCACAGGTGCTTTATGGAGAACGAGCTGCTGACTTCCACTGTTGTCCATTGAGGATTGTGATGTTTTTCTGCTGAACATATCAAACGCCTGTATAAACACCACTGGAGGGCAAACACACATTACTACACAGCAGAAAATAAAGAATATTTTGACCGTGTCTTCTGTTCTCACAGGGACATTAACAAGGGGTCAGAGGTGAAAATTGTGCACACGTCTGTGCATGGTGTGGGCCACACATTTGTCCAGTCGGCTTTCAAGGCCTTCGATCTCCACCCTCCATATGCTGTGGAGGAACAAAAAGATCCAGACCCGGAATTCCCCACAGTGAAATATCCCAATCCTGAGGAAGGAGAGGGAGTGCTGGTATGTTGTGGATTTTCACATCACATGCGGCCATGCACAGACTGTGTGTTAGTGGTTGAAGGTAAAAACGTGTGTGTGTGTGTGTGTGTGCGTGTGTGTGCGTGTTGCAGACGCTGTCGTTTGCACTGGCAGAGAAGGAGGGGGCCGGCGTTGTGTTGGCGAACGACCCTGATGCTGATCGACTGGCCGCCGCCGAGAAGGAGGCAAGGTCAGCGTCGGCGCACCCCGTCCTGCAACATTTTAGCAATGTTGGACTCAACAATGGGCAGCAGTAGTACCGCTCTATCCGACGCAAATTAATAGAAGGTCAACTGGACTGAACTGGAACTTCTTTAGCCGTCATTAAAACCTCTCAAATCTCCTAAAACCAATGCAGAGAAACGGCTTTGAATAGCAGCCTGGTGATGTCAAAGGTCATGTGCCCGCCCTTCCATGACGTGTCTCTCTCTGTGTGCCAGTGGACGGTGGCGTGTGTTCACTGGCAATGAGCTGGGGGCGTTGCTCGGCTGGTGGATGTTCCGCTGCTGGAAGGATCAAAACTGTGACGACGCTGCGGCGCTGAAGAACCTCTACATGCTGTCCAGCACCGTCTCCTCCAAGATACTGCGCGCCATTGCTCTCAAGGAAGGCTTCCACTATGAGGTAACACTCCCCAAGTCCAGGGCTGGGTCTTCATTGTGTGTTCATCAGGGCGCTTCACTGCCGCAGCAGTTTCAAACCACACTTGACGTCTGTTGCCGCTGTTTGGGCAGGAAACACTGACGGGGTTCAAGTGGATGGGAAACCGAGCCCAAGACCTTTTGGACCAGGGCAAGACTGTTCTGTTTGCCTTCGAGGAGGCCATAGGTATGAACCGACTCGCTCCCGCCTGACAATACATGTCGCCTCACTGGTTTTGCAACCAGTTCGCAGCTACAGGAACACGTTCTTTGTCCATAAGTGGTGTAAATTTGCCGACTGGGGTCTTTGTTAGTTAGACGTCAAACCTCATGCTTCAGGTTTACGGACATTGGAGGTTAATACGACGGATGTCCACTCAGCACACACGTACAAATTCACTTACTACAGTGCATTCCCATGTAACACGATTATGATGCCGTGTGTGTGTGTGTGTGTGTGTGTGTGTGTGTGTGTGTGTGTGTGTGTGTGTGTGTGTGTGTGTGTGTGTGTGTGTGTGTGTGTGTGTGTGTGTGTGTGTGTGTGTGTGTGTGTGTGTGTGTGTGTGTGTCAGGCTATATGTGTAGTCCCTCTGTATTGGACAAGGATGGAGTGAGTGCTGCAGCCATAGCAGGGGAGATGATTTCCTACCTGGCCAAGGAAGGCTTCACCCTTTCTGAACAAGTAGAGAGGATCTACAAAGAGTAAGAGTTGCATGTTTAAATTATCTTCATTTGGTTTAGCGTTTTAGGGGAGATACGACAGACTGGAGCTGCGTCCCTCTCTACTCCTTCTTGTCAGGTACGGCTACCACATCAGCAAAAACTCCTATTTCATCTGCCACGACCAGCAAGTGATCCGCAGCCTGTTTGAGCGCCTGCGCAACCACGGCGGCCGGGGGGACTCGTACCCCACCGAGTGCGGCCGCTTCTCCATCTCCGCTGTGCGAGACCTGACCACCGGCTATGACAGCAACCAGCCCGGCAACAAGGCCGTGAGTGGACCCATGAACATTTAAAAAAACACCACTTATACTACTATTCATGTCCGGTCAGAAAGAGATTTAATCTCAATGGGATCCCAGACCCGGCTAAATAAAAGGAGGGACAAGTCAGACATCTATCACATCTCCCCCCAAAAAAGTACAGAAATACACACAGAAACATAATGTTTGCTGCGTTGTGGTATTTAGTGTAAAGTAACAGACTGCAGTCGTTTTGTATAAGTTGTACTTTGCATCGTCATGTGCATCATGAAAAGTAGATGGAGAGAGCTGGTAACATAGCGGCACTGAGTGAATTAATAATATCATTTTATTCAAACTACGCCAACGACAATGTCCTTTATGCCAATAATTGTATTGGTGAAGAATGGTCTCCCAAACATGTTTTTCCATTCTTACCTGCTTCTTCTCTGGTGTCCCAGGTCCTTCCCACCTCCAGCTCCAGTCAGATGATCACCTTCACCTTCTCCAACGGGGGCGTGGCCACCATGAGGACCAGTGGCACTGAGCCAAAAATCAAATACTACACCGAACTCTGTGCCGCTCCTGGCAACAGGTAGGTTGCTGTAAAGACTGGACCAGGGAACTGATGAGCGTGGGCCAGACCAGTAAAATCTTACATGATGGACCGGACGCAGTCAAAGCTGATCTCAGTGTGTTTCTCATGTGCTACAGTGTGACGCCCCCAGTGGACTGATTAGGAATAGCAGCACATTTTATAGAAGCGCAATTAATGTCTTTGTGTAATTCTCACACTAGCTTGGCCGGTGGGGTCCAGCCTTGTTGAATCTGACGTAAAGAATGTTGAACAATTGAGGGATAATGAAATACTTTCCTGTAGGCCATTGTTTTAGCTTTTAGTGACACTCATCTGGGCTCTTCTTCTGTTCCCTGGGACTCTATGCATCCTCTAACAGCGACGTGACGCATCTGAAGAAGGAGCTGGACGACTTGGTCAACGCCATTGTTGAAAACTTTTTCGAGCCAGAAAAGAACAAGCTGCAGCCCAAGCCGGAGTAGAGCGCCGACCGGCCCCACCATAAGCAACGGAAAAAATTATAATTATAATAATATTCATTTTTGTTGTTTATTATATTAAAAATACATTTTCCAAATAGTCAATATTTGTGTTTTTGAAACGTGTATTATATACCTAGTAATATTTGTAAATTAACGTATCTGCGCAAAATATATGTTTTTCCTGCAAGTCCTCTGCACGTCTCAGCTGGGCTCTGCCGGGTCCCAAAGAGGAGGGTCTAAGAAGCAGTTGGCCAATCACTTATCAAGTTTATGATTTAATATTTACATTCACATTTAACGTTTACATTTAGATGAAATATTTATATTATTTAACAACTTTATGTTACCGACAAAAATTATCCTTAGAAAAGTTATTTCTCTCTAAATGTTTCACATGACATATTGTGGGGCTTTTGTTCATATGATAATGCTAAATGTACCAAAACTTCGCAGGATTTTAGAACGTGCAACATTTTCATCTGTACATCTGTAACTCACGTGACTCTCAATCCAAAAATGCTGCACATGCCGAAAGTACAACTTAACTCGATACAAAAAACATCAAATAAAGTGGCTTCTAGCGTTGCACATTGATTCTTGCAACTTTCAGAAGGAGTGAAGCGCACGCACGCACGCACACGATGCTATCCGGGGTGGCGCATGCATGCAGCATGCACTTGTCATGCCCCCATGTGAGCAGAGGGAAGAGGGAGGACTGGTCTGCGCTGTCTGCTATATATAACGCAAACTAGAGCCCGGTGTGAAGCCTCGGCGAGTACGCGCGGTAGTGCGTGTGCTCCGAAATACTCCCACGACCTCTCTCGGACAGGACTTCAGTGAGCAGGTACGGTGGCAGCGGAGAAACATCGTCTTGAATCAATTCAAACTAATCCGGCGACGGCTCACGCGCGCTTTGTTGTCTGCGCCGCTTGGTGCGTAAAAATAAAGTTGTGCCGTGCGTAAAAGAAGCCGGTGCGCTCCGAAACGCGCTCCTCGCAAAGCAACAGTTTAGCTCTGCTGTTTTTGTGCACCGTGTAAGCAGGGGAAGTATTAATGTTGCAAGGTCAAATATGAAGTAGGCAAGCGGTTACGATGTATGTTTATGTTGTGATTCCATAGCTGGTAAGATCGAGTTATTGTGCGCATGGTCATGTTGACGGAGTTGCTTGTTAAAAGGAAGATCCGTCTATCAGTGATCATAGAGACAAGTACGTGTCCTCGCTGTGGGGGGTGTCACGTGTCCCTGTGTCCTTGAGACTGAACAATGTGTGGTCACGTGTTCCTGGTGGGGTAAACACCAGGTGTGTTGTTTTTTTTTGTCGCTCCAGATGACCCTGTGACCTCTACATCCAAAAGACTGCTGATTCTGAACCCCCTCCGGCCCCCCAGCAGGCCATGGAGGGACTCTACTTTGAAGTGAAGCCCCGGAGAGATGAACCCTGCGGGCCGGGGAGCTCCGAGAAGCCCCACCCTAAAATAACTACCAACAACCGCAGCGCGTGTCCAGCGCGCCCACATCGGGCCCTTTCCGCACCGTGTCCCCAGAAGCCGTGTTCTCCGAAGAGGAGACTTTCCTCGTGCGGGGGTAAGGTGGAGGAAGAGGCGGAGGAGGAAGTAGATTACAGACTGACGTTGATTGGCTCCCTCCCCGTCCACCACCTGACCACCATGGCCATGCTGCCCTGGGTGGTGGCCGAGATCAGCCGGTGTGCACAGAGGAGCGCGGGGCCCGTGCCACACTCCGGGGGCCCGTCGGGCCCCTCGTCCCTCAACCAGTCCGTGTTTCTGTGCGTGTCAGCGTCGCGTGTGCGGTGCGTGTGCGTCCTGGCCGAGGGGGGCGGCTGGGACCCGCTGACGCGCACCGTGCTGTTCGAGTGCCGGCCTCACCAAGTGACGAAGCTGATTCACAACAGCCAGGAGCCCGGAGGCTTCGGCTGCCTGGTCAGAGAGGGCGCCAGCTGCACCTGCTACGTCTTCCGTGGCCAGGACAGCACCAAGGTAGGGGGGGTTGGACACCGGTGTCTCCGGCCGTAGCCGTTATGTACTCCTCTTTGCTCCTCAAATCTTTCATAAGTCAAAGAGAACAGTGTCATAACTACTAAGAGAAGGCACACGAGAGACGGTGAAGCAAAACCTTCTCACATTAATGGCAAGAGGCCGCCTGAGGGCTCACTGTTTATGGCTGAGGGAAACTGGATCTGTTTGGCGTGACGGCTTACACGCACACTCCAGCAACGTAAACACACACACACACACACGCGCTGACCGACACACACCGCCCTCTCACCTCTGCTCCACATGGCCAGCTCGCGGTGCTGCAAAGCCCCAGCTGGCGTCCCAAGGCAGCCAGAGACATTCCATAATGCCAACATGCCAAAGGCTGCGAGAGAGACAATGGAGGACGCTGAATGAGTCCGAGAAGTCAAAATGCAAACTTGACCTTTGACAATGAATAAATAAATATATATGTATATATATAAATATACGCATCTACATCTTAAACACATTCAGAGCGATTTCCCTCGATCACACGCCACACAGCTCGTTTTACATTAACCAAGCAGGATGTAAAACCTCATCGCCATGGCGACTGCTTCCTGTGGTTTTCGTTGTGTCTTCCCTTTCTGTTTCAGGCCTTTGAGGAATGTGATGATGATGATGATGATGATGTCAGGCTGACCACCTGTTGCTCTCTGTCACATAGACAGACACAAACACACACATTAGCATGCGCCAGTGATTAGGCGTACCATTGTGGAGCTTTGCCAAATGTCTTTACAAGACTATATTTCATTTAGTTTATTAGGGGTAGTGAGACCATAGAGCTGCATAAACTAGAGCAAATGTGTATTGAACACACACACACACACACACACACTAGATTTAGGAAACAGTGAACCCTACACACACACACACACACACCCAATCACACTTTGGAGAAGTGACATTCATTCGCATCACAATTTCATGAGCAGCAAACATCCGTGAGTGTTTAAATACGGGCCGCCATCCAAAAATGGAGAAGATGCCCAGTGAAAATCCAAATAATTGTTCTGCACTTTATCAGAACAGTTACGTTATGAGCCACTGTGAGTTTAAATGTGACCTTTTCTCCAGTATTCAGTGACGGTAGTAATGGCAGTTAAAGGACTCGAGTAGGATGTATGGTGATTTGGAATTATAATATTCCATATTTTGCTTTTATTACACAGGCTCTAGCGAGAGCCTTTGTGTTATTTCCCATGTGGGGATGTCTGTAACAAGCGTTATTTGTTTGAAAGTAATCACTACAGGAAAACGTTTCATTATGAGGCTACAGACTGTCTGAGGGCCTTCTGTGTTTCCTGCGCTGCCCCTGCAGTGGCAACAAGTAGCCGCCAGGTGTCCCCACTAAAGCGCCTCATCTCTTTATTTGAATTAACTTTTCATTATGACGTAGTGACTATTCTGCAAATCAGAAGTGTGTGATGACTAAATATGAGATATTTCAAGATTAGTACCTTAGTATTGTATTCTAGTCAGAGTTTGGTCAGCTAATAGTCATTTCAATGTACTTATTTGTAGCTGACTGAAAATATTGTATTGCTAACTTTGACAACACAACTCTCCTCTTTTCATCACTAGTCGGTGTCCCACTGGCCAGACTTGACCTTCAGATAGTTTTGGTGATTAATTCACAGTGATCGTGGTTATTAAACTATTTAAACTCGTTTCTACTCATATCAACATGTGTTAAAAAAAACGTAGTAGACTTTTAATTCGACACAAATCACAACAACATTAGATTTGTATTTGTCAATATCTGTATTCTATAACTATGTTCACACCCAAAGTCAGCGTTTCCTTAGATTAGGTATTAGTAAGAAATACAGTATAAAAGAAATACACAGAGGTGGATTGATTTAATCACGTGGTTAAAAACAAACAAACACGCAGATTGGATAAAGTGGTTCAGTAATTGACATTTTTCATTTGGATTCGAACACACGGGAAGGAGAGAGCTGATGCATTTACTGGATGTTACACCGTCAGCAACAATGAAATCAGCTGTTCAGACAAAACCGCCTCAAATGTGGACCAAAGTACATTTTCCTTAAAGCGGTAAAACTTTTTACATGAAGTTCATTTTTCATTCGCAGCTATATCAGTTTTCCGGATGTGTCCCACGGGCCGTCATTCCTGCGTGATTATGTCTGCGCTGCGTTAGAGACAGGAAATACTGTCCCTACCCGACCATAGCAACGAAGATAACAACGTTAATCCTGCAAACCACCCAGAGGTCCAAGTTTGACCACCCCGGGACAGGAATTGTGTCCTCCCCATTCTCCTACTGTATTGGCGGATTTAGCAGCGACAAGCTGACTACTGTTCGCTGGACAAGTCTGCTTCTTTGGAATTCAACCTTTCAAAACAAAAGCGAATCGACGTTGCGTATGAGGAGTATGCACGTGGAGTGACCGGAATGCCCTTACTTTGAAATGCCCAAACCGGATCTGTCGTAGCGTTATCCCAGCCAGCCTGACGGTTAACCGCAGCCTGCTCGGGTTCACGGAGCAACATCAACTTTCCGATTAAATTATATTGGAAGTGTCCCACACTGCCAGGGGCAAGTCGCGGAGAGGTGGCGTTCGTCGCTCGGCTCTCGCTTCTGTAAAGTTCATGGCGGATGGGATGAAAGCGCGACTCCAGCGACTCAACTTGTTCAACATCAAACAAGAACAAAAAGATGTAAGTTAACCGCGGCGTCTGAAAGCCGGTTTGCCTTGAATCGCTTTGCCGTGCTAAGAGAGAGAGTCGACGTTAGCTAACGTCAAAGCGAGGCGGCTAGCGAGCCCTCTCATTAGCACAATTAGCTAGAGAGCCGCGATAGCCACATTCAACAGGTACACGTTAACGGCCAACAACGTCAACCGACGTGTCACGCGACTCCAGCGGAGGAGTCACAGTAACGTTTTCCTACGTTCCCCCACGCAAATAATACAAACGGTTACGTTGTTTTAATTTACTTCAACTTCAACTAAGCACCGAGGTTATTGTTCGTGTGTGAGTCTGGAGACCGGGGGCCTGACGACAGACGCCCCCGTCCGTCCTCCCGCTGGCCCCAGCAGCTCACCATAAGTGGGCAAGAAGTGATGAGTGGAAACTGGGAAGGTTTCTGTGCTGCTTGTGCTCCACCAGGGTCTGCGGCACCTGGATGTGGACGTTCTGTTCTTTGTCTAATATATAAATATGTATTTAAGGTTACAGGTGTGGCCTGAAAGTTCACATTTTTCCAACTTAGTTTAGAACGTGACAAGAATCCCCTTTCCGAAATGTGTGTGTTTTGTGTGGATGTTTATCTGACAGCTGGTTGATTGGCTGGTGGTTTTGAATACACCTTAAATGTACCTTAACTCTTCTTTATTATTTAAGGGCTGCATGCTATAGTGTGTGTGGGTCAACTCCTCACTGCCGGTGGTATTTTGAGCTATACACTATACAGCATAACTAGTTGTAATGCGTATATGGCAAAATAATAATAATAAACAACAACAAAATCCAAATAATTCCTAAAATTTTCCCCTTTTTTTAATTTTTTTTTTACAATTTTCCAAATCCATTCATTTCTGGATAAAAATAATGGTAAAACAGTTTTGTTTTCTGAGCAGTGGACGTGTATCAGGGCGACTCAGTGACTTGGATATGCCGTCTTCCTTCTGCTCGCCGCTGCTTCTGTAAATCAGTTGTCTGTCAGACAAGAGAATCCAGCTGAAGACGAGCCAGACGTAGGTGTATGAGACATCGCCTCCTCTGTTAGTCACACACACACACACACACACACACACACACACACACACACCGCCTCGTCTTAAAGTGCAACTTAATTTCACCATTTGAACTGCTGAATGTGAAATGTTGCCACTTAAAAAAGATTAAGCCATAGTTCCATATTTTTTCATTTGCGATTGAAAACTAGAGTGGTATTTACTGCGTTTGAATGGCAGAAAATCTCTTCCACTTACAGAATGACTCGACCAAAATAACTTCCTCACATGCAACAGCAACAACTCCCTTCTGTCTCGGCTGAGACCACAGTTTTAATTTTCTACACAGCGATTGGGGTTAATGATCACCCGAAGTGTCTCGAGTACTTGGAATCTCCCCATTTCTCTCTTCGCTGTGCCCTCTTGCCGTAATCCCTCGGGTCTCACGTGCCTCTCCCTCCCTCTCAGTTTGACAGTCTTTGTAACTTTAAACAAGCCTGTAAAACTGGCGGCCCCGCTTCCTCTGAAAGTCTGTCTTTGCTTGTTCGCTTGTGTCTCATTGGCCTTGCAGCCTGTCTTTGTTTCATTAATGTGTTCCTTTTACTTTCCTCCCCTCTCGTCCTGTCAGACATTGAGCTCCACCGTACAATCTTCCTGGATGAGAGCATTATCCGTGCGCCTCGCTGACCTCATCTATTCTCACCCGGGAGTTCATTCTGACTCAGCAGAGCTCTTTGACAACAAGCGCCCACATTGTGTCCTCCCTATCGCGTTCCACTTGAGTTTTGTCCTCCTTGTGCTGTGAAGTAGCTCCTTAATCCCCAAAAAGAGTGATGGCAATGTGTAGGACCCCCCCGCCCCCCCACATCCCCCTGCTCACTCTTAGAAAATAAAGTCTGCTGTGTTGCTCCTCTGTACTTTGAACTGCTTGCTTCGCTCCACAAGACCCAAGCACATGACCATGGGAAGTGCAGGAGAGGGGCTTTCTTCGCTGGCTCCTCGTCCCTGTTGTGTGTTTTTCTAGGCCTGCTGGTTGTGTGCTGTTTTCCAGCGACATTCCTCTGCGACTTCTAATTTAGAGGCAAGCTTTTCTAAGTCGAAATGACCCTTTAGGCTAGTTTAGTCGACCTCCAGTGACGATGCAAAGAGTCTTATTTAAGAGTCATTTGTCTCTTTGCGTCTTCTTTCATTCATTAACTAGACGCTGCGTTTGTTTTGATGATTGTGTAGATTCGTGGTTAGCGATGGGACATA